GCCCCCCCCCCAATGCCGCCCGGCTGCCCGGTTCGCCCATGCCAAAAACCGCCACTGCCCAGCGGCAATAATAGTAGAATAGTAGAGAAATACAAACTGTCTACTTTATAACAGCAAAACAAGACTTATTCAAAGTGGTTTAGGTGAAAATGGAGTTTAACTCTGAGTTCAGGGAAAGTCATGTTTTCACCTAACCTGCTTTAACCTGCAGGTTTTTAAATGGTTTTGAATGTTACTACGGTGGCCTGTTAGCTTACAGCACATTGGACTGACACATTGCGATTTTGAATGTAAACATGCAGAAAATTCAGCATTCAGAGCCGTGACGTCATCAACGGCATGGCTTTGGTCTTCGTGACGTCACCGAGTCTCGCGCAGAAGCTCACCTAATAACTGCAGCTTCACAGGCAGTCAGACCACTTCTGAACTTCAGTAGAGGTACCACGCTGGTGAGCAAGAGAGATTAACTCGACAAACACACGTTAAACAACATCTATTCAGTGAAATACTTCGGTATTCATGTCAAAAGTGATTCTTCCAGTAAAAAATGGCAAGTTCTACCGATAAACCCCAAACCTGTAAAACCAACATACAGACAGCTTCCGGGAACAAGATCATGAACTGCGAAGCCCTTCATGAGGAAATCAGGAGGCTTCAGGGGATGCTGAGCAGGGGCAGAGAGAGTTTTATCTATGAACAGAACTGGAGGATCCAACTTAGCCAAGAGCTAAGTGACACAAAGGAACAGCTGGCTTACCACAAAGCCAAGACTGAATCCTTTATCAACAAGCAGAAAGAAACTAGAAAGGAGCTTGAAAGACTGAGGCAGTACAGTGATGCTGAAGCTCTGAACGCCTCAAACATTGCCACTCAGGTGGGCAATGACATCAAGAGAAAGAAGAAGAAAGATCTTCAGAGAGATTACGAGGAGCTGAAGGTGGCATACGCCATATGCCAGGACAGGTTTACGGGTGAGCTCAATATGGAGAGGAACAAGATCAGCGCTCTCCAAGAAGAACTGGAGAAGCTCAGAGCTTCACACCATGAGCTCAGCGTGAAAAATCAAAAGGATGCCCTCGCTCTCAAACAACAGGTGGAAAGTCTTCACAGTGAGCATGAGACGGAAAACAAGTCTCACCGCGACACCGTGGAGCTGATCGACACCCTGAAGGCGGAGAAAGACAAGCTAAAGTTGGAGAAAGACACCCTTCAGCGTGAGCTAGAGACTGAAAAGCTTTCTCATGCAGCAAGGGTGGCGCAAGATCTCCAGCTGATCGACACCCTGAAGGTGGAGAAAGATGCCCTTCAGCATGAGCTACAGACTGAAAAGCTGGCTCATGCCGACAGGATTGAAAAAGATCTCCAGCTGATCGACACCCTTCAGTGTGAGCTGGAGAATGAAAAGCTCCATCATGCGGACAGGATGGCTCACTCATGCCGACAGGGCGGAGCAAGATCTCAAGATGATCGAGACTTTAAGGACTGAGAAAGACAGCCTTAGTCAAAAGATGGCAGAGGAGATGATGAACATGCAGAAGGAAGCTGATCACAAGGTCATGCTCTATGAGAGAATACTGGAGCCACTGAGAACCATGCTCGACATGCAGGTCTCACTCAACAACCAGCTCTTAGCTAAGCTCAATGCTAAGGAAGTCACCAGCTGTGAAGAGCATGATGACCCTGAGGAACAGCATGAGGATGGACAATGTGAGGACCAGGACTCTCTCCCTGGTGCCTTCCACCATGAACTGACAGAGAATGCTGTGGTTTCTGAACAGATCGCCACAGGGACAACTAAACCAAAGTCTCGGTGGAAAAGATTTCGTCACTTTCTGGGGTTGAGGAAACCACAGAAGTGGAAGAAATAAACCCAGCTTCTCCCAACAGCAGATATTTAAAGTTGAATAATCTGCTGTTAAAACTTTCTAAACAAATGAACCAATTACTCCAGATGTTTTACTAAATTACATGACAGGGCTGTCAGACATGTACTGACACCCCAAAAATAAAAAAAAATACTTTACTTCTTTTTGAAAATAAAAATATTTAAACTACATTTATGCTGTAATCATACTTTGATCACTCTTTTGCAAAATTTTCTTTGATAGTTTTCCCTGAAAGGGTCGTTGTTCTTTGAGTGTGGCTCCTCCTGTTTACACTATATACAGTAGTTGTGCAAATTACAGTACACAAACCATAAAATGTTCACTGCTCAGTGTTTTCAGTTGTCTTTACATTCAGTGTCGACATGTAGGAAATGAAGTGGGCCCACGATTACCATGCTGAATGTGTAAACAATTCTCTCTAACTTGTCCTCATGACCACAGTTTTCACTCCTTCTACATAAGTTCATTTCAGTTTTCACTTTACACACTTTATCTCAAATAAATCATTGTATATTGTTATAATTCCTCATGAGTTTGTACAGTATGTAGTAGACATACATGCTGAAAGCTCTGAGCATTAATTAAATCGCAGAGCTTCCACACTTGTCACAGCAACTCAGACACCGCTGAAAATAGCCCCATTAACCTTTGCTGCACCTCTTTGCACATCCCACAGCTTCGTCTGCTACCAGTACCCTGGCTACAGGGGCCAGCAGTACATAATGGAGTGTGAGAGACACAGTGGAGACTACCAGCACTGGAGGAACTGGGGCTCCCACTGTCAGACCCCCCAGGTCCAGTCCATCAGGCGCATCCATCACTGAGAGGAAGACAGGCCGAGACTGAGGCCACAGTCCTCGGACAGCAGCACCCCCCCCCCATCCTTTCCTTCCCTTTGACTTGAC